TCCACCATGGGTGACCCTGCTGGTTATTTAAAACACCGGTGGCATAGCCCTCAGAATCACAGCAACTCAAACCACCACAGCACGACAGACAGACGAGTGGGACCCTATATTGGGTTTCCAAGGAGCAAATGGTAAGCTTGAACTGCCAGGCTTGCAGTTTAAATGGCTTTGCAGTCTGGCGCCTTAATCCACAGTGCCACACCTGGACTCCATTACAGAACAGTAGAAAATAGTCACTTTCACTGGAATCACCTTCAGAGCACAAAGACATTTCAAAATCTGTAAGCTCTCCTATTAATGGAACATTTCCATCAAATTGTACCGCTCCTCTAAGCCACCCACTCCAGCTACCCACTCCTCCAGGTACCTTCACAGTCCCTTTCCCAGACGCTGTTGTTTAATAAAACCTACAGTGTTAAGAACCGACTCTATAACATGTCACAACAGAACTACTGTCACTATTAATATTATGCTGCTCTGCTGGTTGGATACAGAGGATGGATGGGCTACCACTCACTACTACTGATACCTGTGTCCTGAACCGGGTGCTCAGCAGGAGTACTAAAGGATCAAGTGAAAGGCAGAGGGCGAGGACAAAAACCCAGCCCAAATGCTTAATCCCTGATATTTGGCATGGGGGTACACCTTCCCTTTCCCTAATATGTACAAAAGTACAAGGAGACTTCACAATGTTAGTTGGGGGGGAGGGTGTCCATGAACTTTCTGAAGCTCCCTCATGTACACTGACTGTTTACAGCAATAGGACGAACAAATGAAAGAAAACAAAATCAAATTAATATGTAAATAACTAGGGAAGAACAGATTCAACACACTGAACACTCAAGATCGAACACCAGACAAGTTGCGGACATCATATAATGAAGAAAACAAAAGGCACTAAACAACATGTAAAAGAACAAAACGAATGTCAGAATTTTTGCTCTTGAACAAAGAATAGCTAAAGCAAAAGTAAGAATTGATGTAAAAGAACAGAATTTCAAAGGATGATTCAAGACAAAGTATTATAATGAAATAAGCAAAGATGCAGAGCAAAAAAAGCCAAAATGAAGTAATACACATTTGACATTTCTCAAGCTGAAGAAAGTAAAAGGAAAAATCCAAGCCTACTGAGGATTCTAAAAGGAGTTGTGGTAGCATGTTGTTGTTGTTGTCAGGTGCCATCGAGTCGGAACCGACTCATAGTGACCCCACGCACAGCAAAACGAAACAATGTCCGATCCTGGGCCATCACCTCACTACTGCTGTCACACTTGACACCATCAGTGATGCCACCTGGCTGATCCATCTCGTTGGGGGTCTTCCTCTTTTTCTCTGACCCTCCACCTTACCCAGCATGACATCCTTCTCCAGCGACTGTTCTCTCCTGACAATATGTCCAAAGTATGAAAGACGCAGCTTAGCCATCCTGGCCTCCAAGGAGCACTCTGGCTGCACTTCTTCCAAAATAGATCTATTGGTTCTTTTGGCAGTCCATGGCATTTTTAGTATTCTCCTCCAACACCACAACTCAAAGGCATCAATTCTTCTACAATCTTCCTTATTCACCGTCCAGCTTTCACATCCATATGAGGTTATTGAAAATACCATGGCTTGGGTCAGGCGCACCTTAGCCCTTAAGCTGACATCTCTGCTGGTAGCACAGTGGTTACAAATTGGGCTACGAACTGCAAGGTCAGCAGTTTGAAACTAACAGCTGTTCCATGGGAGAAAGATGAGGTTGTCTGCTCCCGTAAAGATTTACAGCCTTGGAAACCCTGTATAGGGTTCGCTATGAGTCGGAACCGACTCCATGGCACTTAACAACAACAACTGAGGATTCTATGGATAAGATACTGAATGACAAAGGAAGCCTCAAAGATGGAGAAAATACCCAGAATGACTACATCAAAAAGAATAGTTGAATGTGAAACCATTTCAGAAAGCAGCACATGATCAAGAACCAATTATATTAAAGGAAGAAGTCCTAGCTATACTGAAGGCATAAATGAGAAATAAGGCTCCAGGAATGCAAGGAATACGAATTGAGATGTTTCAAGAAATTATTATTCAATAAGTTATTATTGAATAATGATACTAATGCTGGGAACACTCATTAGTCCATGGCAAGATCTATTGGTTCTGGCCAAATGACTGGAAGAGAGGAGATCCCATAGAATGTGGAAATGATCAAATGATAAAACATGGAAACGGCTGTGAGGATGGTGCAGGATCAAGGAGCATTAACTTATTAATGTTATTGAATAGCTTCCTTTCTATTGTAAGGGGTATTATTAATCTCATTCAACTCACAATCCATTTTGCAATGAGGAAAACTAAAGGTTTTAAGCAAATTCTCTAATTATATTCAGATCTAAACAACATGTGTTAGCCCTGGGGGTAATAGTCTCTGCTTTTCAGTTATTGTCAGAGTAGAATAAACATCTGCTTCAGACAGTGGGATAAGAACTTCTTCATCTTGTTTTCTATTCAAAACACAAAAAGATGACAGAAACTTCATCTCCACGGCCTCAGACAAAAGAAAGCAGCAAAACAAAACACCATGCATATCAATATGAACCAAACTCGTTACTCATTCCATAACTGAAATATTAAAAACTAAGAAGACTTCAGTTACTGGCTCTGTGTATTAACAACTAAACAAGGTGGCATAAACCAACCATACACAAACAAGACCCACTGCCACTGCGTCAGTTCTGACTCACAGGCACCCTACATGGAGCTTCTGAGACTGTAAGTCTTTCCAGTTTTCCTGAACAGATGGTGGGTTTGTACTCCCAACCTTGTGCTGAGTAACTCACAGGTTTACTATGGTGGTGGTTATTTGCCGTGGAGTCAGTTCCAACTCATAGCACCCTGTACAGGGTTTCCGATACTGTAAATCTTTTACAGGAGCAGAAAGCCTCATCTTTCTCATGCGGAACAGCTGGTAGTTTCAAACTGCTGACCTTGTGGTTCGCAGCCCAATTCATAACCACTACACTACCAGAGCTCCTTTGGTTTACTATTGTTATATACTGTTATTAAGTGACATCGAATCGGTTCTGACCCATAGAGACTCTGTACAGGGTTTCCAAGGCTGTAAATCTTTACGGGAGCAGAACGCCTCATCTTTCTCCCGTGGAACAGCTGGCAGTTTGGAACTGCTGACCTTGAGGTTAGCAGCCTGATTGGTAACCACTACACTATGTGCTATTTTGAAATAAAATATGTCTCCCATATGAAACTGGAAAAAAACAAACACCAAACAGTACCCATGCTCCAGTTTCCTTAAAAGTGTAATTATTATTGTCCATGGAACGGTTTAGCAATGCACAAACAGTAGTCCTTGTCCTCTAATTATAGTGTCTCACTCACCTGAGGCTGAGTTGATCATATTCTGCTGCACTGGTGGACTGGTGGGGGCTGTAACATTCATCTGGGAAAGCATGGCCTTCCTGGGGTCCTGCCACGTTGTTGTCTGATCAATGTGACTGAGATAAAAAAAGAGAGGAAAAGAAACACAACTGAATTAGAAAACAGTAAATTCCCATATCAAAATAGAGATGATGTATGGGCTAATGGGGCAAAGGCTCTAAATAAGTTCTCACACAGTTCGTGTCTTCTTACCCACTCATTACCTTCCACTGTATTAGACCTGCTTTACATATTTAAATACACAAACTTTTGAAGCATTATGCTGGAATTTTAAGTGAAGAGAAATTACCTTGACCTAAAAGAGAATTATTGTTATTTTATTAGCTGTCATTGAGCTCCTCCCTGGCTTATGGTGACCACATGCCTGCAGAGAGGAATAAAATACTGCCCAGTCCTGCATCATTCCCAGAATTGGACCAGTGTAATCCATTTGCCAGTTTTTGAAAGGAGAGTGTCACAGCTTTCTTCCTAGTCCATCTTAGTCTAGAGGCTCAGCGGAATGAAATCTGCTCAGCATCAACTTCCAGTGAGAACAGGGGATAGTTGCACATGAGGCACGTGTGTCAGGAACTGAACCCACATCTCTAGCGTGGGTGTTTTTACGTAACTGTTGTGGTATGGCGTTGAGTAGACTCCAGCTCAGAGACACCTTGTAAGACAGAGTAGAACTGCCCTAAAGCGTTTCAAAGATCGTAATTTTTATGGAAGTAACTGGTACATTTTCCTTCCTATTAGAAAATTATCTACTTCAAAATAAATGTATTTTTTTAAAATTTGTCATCTAAAACAACAGTCCCATGAATAAACTTCAAGATATACAAGGAATTCATCCAATTTTCTTAAGAGTTAAGAAAGAATAGATAAGATGGTTTGCAATAAACTAATATGTAGGAGCTCTGGTAGCGTTAGTAGTTAGTAATCGGGCTGCTAACCCCAAGGTCAGCAGTTTGAAACCACCAATCGTTCCGCGGGAGGAAGATGAGGCTTTCTGCTCCTGTAAAGATTTACAGCCTCAGAAACCCTGTGAAAGGTAGCTATGAGTCCGTTATGAGTCAGAACCGACTCCATGGTGCTTAACAACAACAACAATATGTAGAAGGAGTTCTGGTTGTGGAGCTTTGGAATAAGCAGGAGACCGCAAGGTCAGTTTGAACCATGAGGTCGGCAGTTCAGACCAACCAGCCAGCCACTCCTTGGAAACCCTATACATGGTTGCTATGAGTCAGAACCAACTCAACAGCACTTAACAACATAGAGTTTCTGAGGCTAAAAATTGTTGAGGGAGCAGAAAGCCTTATCTTTCTCCTGCTTAAATGGCTTACAGGCTTGAACCGTGGACCTTGTGGTTTGCAGTCCAGTGCTTATCCTACAGATCCATTTCTACACATTGTTGTTTTTATGCTATCAAGTCAGTTTGGACATATAGAGACCCTGGAGAGGGTTTCCGAAACCCAGAACTGCTTCTACATACTAGCTTACTGCAAACCATCTTCTATATAAGCACATTGATTTCTTCCTCTATAAAACTGGGGATAGTTTGTAAATTGGAGAAAGCTACTTTAAAAATTCATCAACTATTAATATTTATCAACAGATTCTATGAAATACATGTTACAAACATCTATCCACACACTATCTGGTATATGAGCATTCAATAAAGGTTAAATTTTCTTCTTTCAGCAAAAGTTGTTTCTATGAAACAAAAACTAAAAATGTATCATCATACTCATGAAGCTACCTAAAAAGCTTATCCTTTTAAAAAACAAAAAAAGAGAAGTACTCAAAGATTTATATATAGAGTTGTCTTCAATATCATTTTTAACAGCAAATCTGTGAAAGCTACCTCTAACATCCACTATTAAGGGAATGGTTAAATAAATATGGCTATAAAAAAGGGATTCAAAGAGTTCATGGAAAAATTCCATTTCTTCACAAATTTTTGGAAGTTCCTCATATATGATAAAGGAACTCTGGAAGTGTAGTAGTTATGCATCAGGCGGCTAATCTCAAGATCTGCAGTTCGAAACTACCAAATATTTTGTGGGAAAAAGAGACTTTCTGCTCCCATAAAGATTTACAGCCTCAGAAACCTCATGTAGGGTCGTTACGAGTCAAAACCACCTTCACGCCACACCACCACCACCATTTGTTGTTATTGTTGTTGTTAAGGGCCATCGAGTCAGTTCCGACTCATAGCGACCCTGAACACAGTTTCCGAGGCTATAAATCTTTACGGGAGCAGAAAGCCTCATCTTTCTCCCGTGGAATGGCTGGTAGTTTCAAATTGCTGACCTTGAGGGTTAGCAGCCCAATTCATAACCACTATGCTACCAGAGCTCCTAGGTTTACTTGTTATTAAAAGACCATGAGATCACTATTTTTCAAATTAGGAAAGGAAATATAAGGTTATTTAAAAAAGAAACCTTGGAGCCAAAAATCACTTTTGGTATGCTTATTTAAATTTCTAATCTGAGTTCACTCATTTTAAGTACCCACTTAAATGGTAAGCAAATAACACCCTGTCATCAACTCTCCTGAATTGGAAATAAAATACTACCCATAATTTTATCATATCAATAATACAATAAGAAAGGATCACAGACTCTGGCTAGAATGAACCATTACTATCTACTGGAGATGGGCGTATAGTTCTTTTAGCTGCTACGCAAGCAAGAAGGGGCTGAAAATAGGATTAAGAATGTCTGCAAATACTACAGCTTGAACCTCTGGAAGTTCCTGGTCAATGTACTGTTGTAGACACTTTTGAATTATCTTAAGTAAAATTTTACTTGCATGTGATATTAATGATATTGTCCAATGATTTCGGCATCTCGTTGGGTGACCTCTAATTCGAATAGGCACAAATATGGATCTCTTCTAACAAATTGGCCAGGTAGCTGTCTTCCAAATTTTTTCACATAGATGAGTGAGTGCCTCCAGTGCTACATCAGTTTATTCAAAGATTGCAATTTGTATTTCATCAATCCCTGGAGCCTTGTTCTTCTGCCATTGCCTTCAATGCACCTTGGAACCATTGGCTCTCGATCATACGCTAGCTCTTGAAATTGTTGAACATCATCCTGGTATGGTGCTGTAGGATCAGGACTGGACTGCGAACCACAAGGTTAGCAGTTCAAACCCACCAATAGCTCCTGAACACCCTATACAGAGCTGCGGAGTCAGAACTGATTCCATGGCACTTAAATACAACAACTAAATTTCTGGAGGCCACTATTCTTCCTTACGTAATCTTCTTTTTCCCTCCAAACTTTCCCACATGACATCTAATTCCTACTTATCCTTTCAAAGACTCAACCCTCTCTAAAGCCTCCTTTTAAAAGTCTCCTCTGGAGAAGAGTTTAAAAAAAAAACAAAAGTCAGACATCCCAGTTCTGCTGGGTCATGTGGAAGGTCATTTTATCAATGTGTTCTGTCTTTAAGCAAAATGAGAAGTGATATTTACTGACTTCTCAGGATTGCAATGATTAAAAATTCAATAATATGAAAGAAAGCAACTAGGTCTGGAGCTTCCTGGAGCACAAAAGGTCCTTAAACGTGTGTCCTGGCTTCCTTCCTGTGTTAGTTCATACTTAAAATAGAAAAACTTAACAGTGCATGGGCTAACTCAAGAAAAGTGTTTAAGAATGAGATCAGACTCAGTTAAGTAAAGATGACAGATCCAGGACTTCAAAAGTACTTTGAAAAGGAGCTTGGTTTTCACCTATAAGGTGAGAGAAAGATGCAGTAGATGGGCATACCACAGGGTCTGCAGGTCTAGGGACAGGGAATGAAAAAGGTGAAACATGTTTCCGGACAACTAGAGCTCAACCTGCACAAAGTTTATCAGTATGAAGTAATAATAAATCAGAAAAGGAACACCTGGGCTTCTAGGAAAAGTACAGCAAATTAATTTGGGAATAAAAGATTCATTCCTTTATTCCTATAACTAAATGTTTTGAAATATTAATTACTGAAAACTTCTCTATACGTACAATTGTTTTTATTTTACATAAACCATAGATGGTCAATTCTGTCTATCTAATCCAAGGCAAATTAAAAGCAAGCATTGCTTATTTGCTAGTCAAAGTCCACAATTTAAAGTCTTAAATAAATTATAAATGCTCTTCAAATTTTTGACTGTGCTTCACTTTTGTTATCAAATACAAAAAACTCCCAAACCTACTGCCATCAAATCAATTCCAATGCGAGAGAGTCGAACTGCCCCATAGGGTTTCCAAGGCTCTAATACAATAAGTCTTTCGAAAACAGGTTGTCTGATCTACCTAATGAAGTGGCTGGCGGATCCAAATCACTGGCGTCATAATTAGCAACCTAGCACTTAAAGACTGTGCTACAAGGGCTCCTCTATCATCAAATGCTGAAATTCATCCCCTTACATAAACAACATAATACAAAGTGGGCTTTATAGTGACACATGCATCCCTATATGTATCCTTAAAGCATGGGATTAATTTTATGCTGCTAAAGTATTACAGAATTAAGCTAATATAATTTATTTAAATACATTTAGTGATTGACATTATAAGGATAAAAGTTTAGAAATGCTGAGGAATGAATAACCAACAATTCACTTATACTCCTGCTGGTAAATGGTACAGGGTTGCATGCTACATGGGCCAGACTAATTACAACAGCTTGTAGCTCATTAGAAACTCAGAATTTTAGGCTGTAGTGCAATCTACTGATTAAGCATCTGCAGTATAACCTTATTCATAAGTGATCTGTAAATACATTAAAGCTTAAGAAGTACCTAAAACTAATTTTTTAGCTAACAACTCAACCCACCTTCATTTGAAACTGCTATTATATGCTATCTACTATACAAACAGATCAAGGTACTTGATTATTATGGCTACTATTAGTCATGTGCAAACGTTAATATGTGATATATGTATTATTTTACTACAGATTGCTTCTCTTTCATATTATATTATGGCATTCTTTTGATCTCTTCATATTATGTAATTAAATTAGAGGAATCCCTGGATGGTACAAATGGTTAAGTGTTGGTCTGCGATTTGAATCTGTCCAGAGG